GTAGCTTTTAGCAGACAAAAGCATTTATACAGCATATACCATGCAAAATATTTTTTCACCTTTAACTTAGAAAACAAAAACAATGAAAAGATTCCAGCCAGGTCTCAATCTCTAGTGCCCATAATGTGTTTTTCAGCTGTGTTTTGGCTGAGCATTGTGTATCAGCTGGCTGCCATATTTTGCCCCTCAGGCTACATATTGACTTTTGGAGACACCAGTTACGTCAAAGGACTCATTTCATGGCTAGAATCCCCTTTTGCATGACGTTAAAGAAGTGACTTGGACAAATCAGCTGATCATTTTTATACTGTAGCAACAGAGTTACAGAGCTCCAGAGGAAATGGATTGTTCATGTTCATCTGTTTGTTCGAGGCCATGTGTTTCCTCAGTTATGCCTTTCAGCTTACACACTGGACTTTTGTGGGTGATTCAACACACTGAAGTTTGGACTTTCAAAGATCATCATAAGACAAATTGTAATTTCCCAAACATCCCACGGATTGCCATTAGCACACTTGGAAAGATGATTGTACGCTTATCTACTCAAAAATGAACAGATGCAAGTTTTGCACAGCCAGACTATCATGACGAAGTTTAATTTTTCATCTTGTTCTGGCCAAGAACTGTCCACTTAGAAAGTAAGGGCCTGTCTGACTGACTTGAAAGGTGGCCAGTCAGTTCATTTTTACGGCATGTTTTAATATGCTATTTAAAGGCAGGTTTATCTGAAATATTTGATACCACAATAATAACTTATTCAAAAGGTTCCCTAACAACAAAACCCTATTCTATACTCTTCTTACGGCATTGGAAAAACTCCTGAGTGTCTAGGGATTGAAAAGGACTCTAAAAACAGTTTCAGCTGTATAGGTTATGAGAATGAGTCCATTGTTATAATTTTGGCGATGATTCTTTCTACCCCGAAGGACGTGAGCCATTCCATTTTTATTCCACATGCAGGAAGGGGCGACTTATCATGCTGCACCCTTTGCAAGTTTCCTGTCTCTGAGAATCAGCCATTGTGTTGCAGGCCACATCAAGCAGTCACTCAACAATTGCTATCAAGCCTCTACTCAACTCTTAGTCGTTTGTCCACCGCTAGATATAAGGTCTTTTGTATGTACTCCCTTTAACATTTCACACGTGCTGGAGTCACTCATATTTTCTAGTTGGTAAATGCATTCATAATGCAATCTTCAAAACATGTTGTTGAACAGTTGTGTGTTCCTTCAAATTCTTCTCTATGGCATGAGCACTGCAGAGACACATGTTGAGTGGGGAAAAAGCCACGTTTACAATGCAGCCTGTGATAGAGTTTATGAAGAACAGATGAGAATGTTGGCAGAGCTCCATTCTGAGAGTGATGACCTCACATGTTTGGCCCAGAATTTCATAGTTTCATCCTCCATGGACTATAGCAACAGAACAGCGCTCTGTATAAGATATACTGCATTTCAAAAAATAAAAACTAAGAGGAACAGTTGGAATTTATTAATGAGATTATTTTAAAGCCATTTTACATAGAGCGACACCTTAAAACCCCAGTAAGCAAACAAGTGGTGATGGTATGAAGAACCAAGATTCAACAATTCTCTTCTGGTTTTATATTTTGTTTGTCTCTCCATTTAAAACTTTATTTGTGATTTTAGAGCTTGACATTTTGGAGCCTTCATTCTGTTTCATTGTATTTAAAACAAGTGACCGAGACATTCAAACAATGCCTCTTGTTTGAACACAAGAAAGATACTGATGTTGTATATGTTAAAAGCATGTGCTGAATGACTACTTCTTGAAGATTTAACGTTTGTTTCTCACAAAGTGTAAAATTAGCGTCTATTTAGATCACATACTGTACACTATTTTTGAGGTCAGCAAGATTATTTGAATGTTTTTGAAAGAAGTCTGTTCTGCTCACAAAAGGCTGCATTTATTTATCAAAAATACAGTACAAACAGTAATATTGTGAAATATTATTACAATTTAAATGTGAATATATGTTAAAATGTAATTTATTCATGTGATGCAAAGCTGAATGTTCAGCTTCATTACTCTAGTCTTCAGCGTCACATGATCCTTCACAAATCTGATTTGCTGCTCAAGAAACATTTCCGATTATAATCAATGCTGAAAATAGTTGTGCTGCTTTATATTTTTGTGGAAACCACCACATTTTTAAGAATACTTTGATGAACAGTAAGCTAAAAAAAAAAGCATTTATTTGAAATAGAAATTAACTTTATTAATGTCTTTACTATCACTATCAATGTGTCACTGCTGAATAAAAATATTAATTTCTTTAAAAAAAAAAAATTCTTACTGACCCCAAACACATTTTTCCACTGATCGTTAATGCAAATGGATAGAGCATTTTGCAGACAAAAGCATTTATACCATAGTCTATGCATAATATTTTTTCAACATTAACTTAGAAAAAAAACAATAAAAAGATCCCAGCCAAGTCCCAATCTCTGGTGCCCATAATGTGTTTATCAGTGGTGTTTTGACCTCAAACTTTTGAATGGTAGTGGTGATAAGTCAAGCATTAAGACAATCAAGTTATGGGATTATGAAGGTTTATGGCAGAAACACTTGGATCTGAGGAGGCTTTCTACTGGCTTAGATGTGTTCAAATAGGATTTGCATCTTTCCCAAAGACTAACGGGTTTCCACATTACTATGCTTATTTTTAACCCTCCCACTGAGAGGTTAACGCTGTCAGTATACCCTTTCTTTTGTGGTTAGATTGACCCCTACTTTCTTAGTTAAGAAGCCTTAGCATGCATTGAGGTTTCATCCATTCCTGAAATGATTGCATTGCTTTTATCTTATGTATTGTATATGGTGTCTTTATTCATTTCAACCTTGATATTAACCATAGAAGTAGTCAAAGATGACAGATGCCATGCAGTAATATCACAGATATCAGCACACGAACAGTGTGAGAGAAAGTCTAACTTCTAAAAGTGAAGTTATGGCCGCAGATTGGGTGGAGTAGATATAACTGGTGAATGCAGTGCAATGTGGTCGGTGTCGGCACAGCATGACAAATTGATTGGTTTTCAAATTACTGTGGTTGAAAACACATGCTACTCTTGCTATTTACAGGACTGAGTAGGGAACTTGACCCCTACCACTTTTGGACAGTGATATCTGCCCTGGCAACATTTCTGAAGACTTGAATTATACCATTATATTCAATGCTGCAAATATTTTTGATAATGCTGGGTTAGATAACTTTGATTTACACTACCATTCAAAAGTTTGAGGTCAGTAATGTTTTTTTAAAGAAATTAATACTTAAATTCAGCAGAAAATGCATTAAATTGATCAAAAGTGTCAGTAATTTAAAATGTTTGTTAATGTTACAGTAGATTTGGAATACTACTATTTCAAATACATTCTGTTCTTTTGAACTTACTTGAATTAAAAAAACTTTTTAATGTTATTTTTACTTGTAATAATATTTCACAATATTACTGTTCTACTGTATTTTTGATCAAATGCACCCTTGGTGAGCATAGGACATTTATTTTAATATATATATTATATATATATTAAATAAAAATAAATAAATAAATTATGGTATTAGTTTATTATTAGCTTATTATTATGAGCCCAGGAAGAACAGCTTCCTTAAACAAATGAAATCCATGTATTTCACACACAGGTACGAAGTCCAGCAGAGGTGAAATAACTGATTTGCATGTCTACAGCAGACAGGTGTTGTGTCTCAGGTTGGTGGTAAAATTAACTAACCCAGAGGACAATTTTATTGCTCATTGGTAGCTCTGGAGATGTAATCAATTCTAAATTATTTTTAATTTTAGGACAAAATAAAATTAAATGCAGATGAGTCACTTGCTCATACAGTAAGAGTACAGAGCCATAAAAGTTATCAAAGATCCTTTGCTCCTGGAGGAATGTGAGGCCTGGCTTTGGGATCTGTATTTAGTGCTGTACTTGATCACATGAAAGCAGTGTATTTTTAGCTGAAGGTTTATGCATACTTCTACATGCAGTATGTTTGAAATGTTGTCAGCAAGATCAAGTCAAGACATGGATCTGTTTTATTGAGCAGGACTGAACTTCCTCTTTCCATAGCTGTCCTCTTTCCAAAAAGAAAAAAAATCTTTTTACATTTTAATGCATTGCACCTCAGGCAAACTTTTTGCATAAATGAAAAATGTCTTTGAATTTATCATTCATAATTTATAAGCTGCGGACAAATGGTTGTATATGAGATGTTTGTAGTATGTTCTCTATTCATTTTTACCAATATACACTGTAAAAAATGTTTGTTTGTTTTTTAAGTAGTAAATAAAAAGGTTATTGGAGTATGTTGTACTAGCAAATACTATTTCAGTGTTTCTTCTTGTTCAATTCAATCTGTGACTTGCTGTTTCTTTGTAATTATTTGTAAAATTTACTAGCAATTTCCATGTGAAAATTGTTTCTACACCAATTTTTGATGCACAGAATAATTCAAACTTGTGCAAATGGACATGAAATTTACTGTAATGTAGGAACTGCAATGTGCCTCAGGAATAGTATTAGTAAAGTCTTTTTAAGCAAGTCAGTTCATGTGAGATGCAAAATTTTTTGTCAAGATCCTTCAGTGAGGAAAGACCAAAACTGCTTGCAAACCTTACATTGTAATGTCAAATTTATAATGAAATCACACAAAATATTATAATAAATATAGTTGGGGGTTTTTTCACATTCATTGTTTTTTGTTTATCCTGTCTCTGGTGTTATATGACCTCTGACCTGAACTTTGTTTGACGTCCAAGACATGAGCTGCAAATGTGTCAGCAGGGTTAACAAGATCTATATCAGCTGTTAACGCCACATCCATGTAGTTCATGCAGACTCGGTCAGCTTAGTGAACTAGAGGTAGTATGCATGGGATAACTAGCGTATATCCTCAACTGAGAGTGCAGATGAGTGTTAATGTTTGTTAAGCATGTGTTTTAGAGCCGGTGTGTCGTGTCTGTCGGCAGGTTGCGGGGCGGCGGTACTCTCTCTGGGACGACTTCCTGGTGCAGGGCCGGCATGAGGGTCAAAAGGAAATGACCTTGGAGGAACTGCTGAAACACATTAAGGTTAAGGCACACACGCTGTCAACATCAGACACTTAAAAGACATCAGATACCATTCACACTCAGTCTCACACCAGTTTTTTAAATCTTCTTTGTCTTTTCTTTGGAACTAGAACTGATTTTGTGCCACATAAATACATGCTCCAGCATTTAAAAGTTTGAGGTCGGTAAGATTTTTTAAATGTTTTTGAAAGAAGTCTTTTATGCTCGACAAGGATGCATTCATTTGATTAAAAATACAGTTAAAACAGTAATATTGTGAAATATTATTACAATTTAAAATAGATGTTTTCTATTTGAATATATATATATATTAAAATGTAATTTATTCCTGTGATCAGATTACTCCAGTCTTCAGTGTCACACGATCCTTCAGAAATCATTCTAATATGCTGATTAGGGCCGGCATGAGGGTCAAAAGGAAATGACCTTGGAGGAACTGCTGAAACACATTAAGGTTAAGGCACACACGCTGTCAACATCAGACACTTAAAAGACATCAGATACCATTCACACTCAGTCTCACACCAGTTTTTTAAATCTTCTTTGTCTTTTCTTTGGAACTAGAACTGATTTTGTGCCACATAAATACATGCTCCAGCATTTAAAAGTTTGAGGTCGGTAAGATTTTTTAAATGTTTTTGAAAGAAGTCTTTTATGCTCGACAAGGATGCATTCATTTGATTAAAAATACAGTTAAAACAGTAATATTGTGAAATATTATTACAATTTAAAATAGATGTTTTCTATTTGAATATATATATATATTAAAATGTAATTTATTCCTGTGATCAGATTACTCCAGTCTTCAGTGTCACACGATCCTTCAGAAATCATTCTAATATGCTGATTTGCTGCTCAAGTAAAACATGTTTTTTATTACTTTTGTGGAAACCATGATACATTCTTTTCAAGATTCTTTTCTTGGCCAAATTTAATGCATCCTTGCTGAATAAAAGTATTGATTTCTTAAATAAAATTTAAAAAATTGTACCGATCCCAAACTTTTGAAGAGCAGTGCATGTAGGAAATTGGTTAACTAAAAAATCAGACAGTCTAGATGAAAACACACAATGAGTGACACATGTTTGCGGGCACACAGAATGTCTATTGAATTAGTTGAATTAATAATTCTTTCCCATTTCAGGAAAACCATAAGTTGAGCATCACTGGCTTGTATTATGGTACTGCTGTACTGTACAGTGATCTCTCGGATCATACTGATCGCCTGAAGCTAAGGTGTGTATGCCGACATACAGCTGTTTTTCAGGGAAATATTCCACACTGCATTAATCTTGTGTATGTTATATTGAATGTTTACCTGCATAATATTAACCTGAATTCTAGAGCAATATGTCATTAGATCTGTCTAGACTGAGAGATTTCGAGACATTTGTCCCCTAGTGTTTATTTTGGGATAATGGGGATTTTCCTAAGGCTTTCCAGCATAATGGTCATTTGAAGCCTTCATTAACCCCTCACTCCCCTCTGCATGCATGTGTGCATCTAACATCAGTCTGCTGAGAGATCTCAAGGTTATTCACGGCTTCTTCCTGATGGAACTAAAATTGGTCTCAGATGACAATTAACAGAGAGAGAGAAAAAAGAAATGTATTACCCGTGTCAAGTGCTGCTCCTTCCTGCCATTTCTTCATACAGTATACATTTCTGTAAAACATTTGGCATGATACAGAAGCATGTGAAAACGGTCCAAAGTTTGGTACAACATAAAAGTTATACTTGTAATAATATTTAAATGTTTTATTGTATTTTGATCAAATAAATGCAGCCTTGGTGAACCAAATTACTTTTTTCAAAAAACATAATCTGAACTATTTTCAAACTTTTGACCGACAGTGTATATTGTGCACAGTATGCAAATGTTCTGCACTAAATAGACATCATGTACTATACTACATTTGACAAAATGTGCAGTATACAGCCAGAGCGCACTACATTGTTTACTGAACCACAATGTGGTCAAATGAAGCAGAATATAAACTAATATTTTAACACCTTTTTAACTCATTATTTGATTGCTGAAAGATAGTATGCACTGTAGTTTCTGTGCTGTAAGCAAGTACTTCATTCTCAACATAGCCGATGTTACTTAAGCATAACAGTGACCTTCCTGTTCTTCTATAATTATGAGCGACTCCATACCACACCGTTACATAAATAAACACTCTCTACATTAATTCACAGCAACTATTCTTATGTAACAGTATCTTATGTAAGTACACTGAAGATAATGCTGGTTATAAAGCTTTGGCTCTTCGTTGATTTAGTCTAAAAAGAGAAGTGGTATTTTTACTCATTGATGAACTTATTGTTTATGCAGCATAACTGATTTGGTGCGCACTGCAACTAAGCATGAGATTCCAGATCACCAGCAGATGTTGGAGATCGTTCCCTCGTTTGAAGAGGATGAGGACTTCCAGACCGTCCTGTTCATCAGATACCTGCTCAGGTGATGCTGGAGACCAGAGCCTTACGTCTACGAACGAATTATCACCTTAATAAGATGTCAGCTATTAAGCGGTCTCTATTAACTTTGATTCTAGATTTATAAGCCGAACAGTCATAAAATCATGTGCATTTGTACACTGCAAAAAATAATAAACATGGTAGATTTAATAAAGTTGATTCTTAAAACAAATAAAAAATATTGCCTAGAGAAAAACAAAATAAACTATCTTATACACATTCTGGTAACACTTTTAAAAAAAAAGGTCTCTTTTGTTAACATTAATGTATTAACTACACTGGTAAAAAAAAAAAATCAGTCAGAAATTTCTAGTAAATTTCACAAAGAAGCAGCAAGTAATTGTGAATTAAACATTAAAAACTTAAATTGTTTTTTCTTGCAAGACATACTCCAGTAATCTTGGTTTTATTTAAAACTTTAAAATTATTACAAATCTTTTTAATTAAAAAAAATAGGAAACATTTATTAGTCTTTTTAAATGTTAATCAAAATACAGCTGCAGTTCAGTGTACAATGCATTAATGTTAACACATACAACTTTTGATATTAAAAATGGATTAGTAAATATTGAAATTAATCAATGCTTAAGAGATAGAAGTATTGTTAATTAAAAATATTGCCTAGAGAAAAACAAAATAAACTATCTTATATACATTCTGGTAACACTTTAAAAAAAAGGTCTCTTTTGTTAACATTAATGTATTAACTACACTGGTAAAAAAAAAAAAATCAGTCAGAAATTTCTAGTAAATTTCACAAAGAAGCAGCAAGTAATTGTGAATTAAACATTAAAAACTTAAATTGTTTTTTCTTGCAAGACATACTCCAGTAATCTTGGTTTTATTTAAAACTTTAAAATTATTACAAATCTTTTTAATTAAAAAAAATAGGAAACATTTATTAGTCTTTTTAAATGTTAATCAAAATACAGCTGCAGTTCAGTGTACAATGCATTAATGTTAACACATACAACTTTTGATATTAAAAATGGATTAGTAAATATTGAAATTAATCAATGCTTAAGAGATAGAAGTATTGTTAATTTTAGTTAGTTCATGTTAACTAAGTAACGTTAACAAATTAAACCTTATTGTAAAGTGTTACCAACACTGAAAAAGTCTGAAGTAAACATATCTTGCCAACTAGAAAACAAGACAAATACTGATTAAGATCAGACTATTTTGCAGTGTAAAACTTGATCTGTAAAGTTTTTTGTGAAGAATCTCATTATTTTACTGTCTGTAAGTGAAATATCTTTAATTCTTTTAAACATGATGTGTCCTGTATCAATATGACCCCTGTTGTTTGTTAATTCCCGCCCTCATCCCTTTGTTATGCAGTCCTGACCACCCACCCCTCACCTCACTATTAGCATGAATGAAGACACTTCCAGAGCAGAGCCAGAGACCCAAATGAGCTGCATCTGCTTCAGTTAATTAATTTAATCACCTTTAGACACATTTGTGTGCGTTCAGTCCTAATCACATTACAGCAGTGGATCTCATTCACAAAAACACTTGACAGCTGGGTCTTTTTCTTTCTATTGTATTCTGGTTACAAACCTTCAAATTCTAAAGTAAAATTCTTAAGATTAAAAAAAAATCAAAATCTCATTATCATTCTGTAGTGAAGCCTTTGAAGAGTGCATTCCACTTCATTACTGACTTTTAGAAATGAAGTATAATATTTGCACAGTATATGAGCTGTTTGGTGGCATGTTGAAACTATGAGCTATTGCACAACTCTTTAAGAGACTTATACACATGAAATAGAAGGGTTCAAATAATTTGATTGCAGTTGAATGGAGTTGGTCAATCTTAGGAGAGCCAAACAAATTGAACATTGGTTAGCATTAAAAATATGGGAGATTATGAACTGTAAGACTTGTTTATTCTGTTTCTTTAATAAATGTATTGAAAAAGTATTTTTTCCATATTGCAGCTGATTTATAAAAGCAACAAGCCTTGATTTTTGCTTTAAACTATATTTAAGGTGCAACTCTACTTTAATGCTTTTATGCCATTTTCACATGAAATCCTCAGTCAAATGTTTTTGAACATGATACTTTGATTTTGAAAAATGCAGCAGAAGAGATTCTTTTATATAAAAAGCATTACAATATTTATTAATACATAGAACAATATTACACATTTTCAGAAGTAAACTTCAGTCCGTTTTCATAAACACATCAGATGTATCCAATGATGTCATTGCATATGATAGGCTGTCGACTCCCCGTCTTCATGACAGCGCTGAACTGATAAAAGTCTGGTCCCAATTGGTGCAAACTTGTGTGAGACTGGTGAAAGAACGGTTTGGGGGCTTGAAATCCCACAGGACAAGACATGCGTTTAGTGCAAGCCTTTCTCTCCTCAACTCCCTTTGACATCCCCGCTAATTTCCGCCGCATGTTGACCAGAAAGTCCTTGGCTATTTTGCGGCTGGCGTTCGGCTTGAGTTCTGCAGAATCTGGGCACTCTGGAAGATCCATCCAGTTCTTTATAAGATCTGCAAAGCTGTTGTCCCCAAGAACCAACGGTTGCCTGTTACGGCCTCTGGTTAACAAAGACGTGGTCCAGTCCGTTGGGTCGCTGGCCTCAAACGACGTCCAGCGCTCCAGGCATGCGTCTGATGTGGATTTGGGTCGGATTCGGTTGGTGCGGACGCACGCGGACGATGAAACGCGCACGTTCCTCGTACGCCTCAACACCACACCCTCGTCCTGCCACGATGCTTCAGAGTATCCCGAATCAAAGTCCAGGCTTTTCACGCTGCTCGGGGAGCCTTGAGGTAGACGGCCAACACCGGCTTCCTCATCCTCCTCTTCCTCCAGCGGACTGGCCAGGCAGCAGGCCGAATCGTAGGTGCTGGCGTCGCTGACGTCGGAGATCCGCAGGCGACTGAGCTGCTCCCGCTGTTGCACCCTTTTTTGACAGGCTCGAGTCGCGTACGAGCACTTTGATTGGTCGGTGGGTTCTCGTATCTGCTTCAGATCCTGCAGAGACCTCATCATGTAGCGCATCTGGTCCCGGAAACAGTCGTCTGAACTGCGAACGCACAGCTGGGGAAAGAAGAAAAAAAAATAATGTTAGTGTATTGACTACACAACATCCATAAGGGCTCTAGATGCAGATGCATTTTTCATGGCATTCCCATCAGTGTACCATTTTTATTATTTATTTATTTCAAACAAAAAACACCCCCATTTAAATTTTAGTTAAAGTTTTAGTAATTTCTTTTGTGTTTTGTCTATTTTGAATTAGATTTTTATTTTAGTTAAGGTTTGTTATTCCATTGAGCAAACTCATTCAAAACTCTTCCATTTTTTATTTTATTTTAAAATTTTATTCGTTTTTGTCAATATTTTTAAATTACATTTTTTTTTTCGTTAAAGTTTGCTATTTTGTGTTTCAGCATTTTCAATTAGATTTTTCGTTTTCATTTAAATGTTAATGTTTTTGTCAATACTTTAAATTATTTATGTTTTAGTAATTTTGTTAGGTTTTTGTCATTTTTAAGATGTTTGTTTCGCATGAGAATAAAAAAAAAATAAAAAATTTTAAACCAATAATAACCCTGCACTGTACTATGGTATTGTCACAGTACCTTTTCATAAGGACAAGATGAGCTTGTTCCTCAAATGTTCCAATTAAAAAACGAATCCATTGCTAGACTGATGTGTCCAGGAACTATAATCACCTTGGAAAACAATCCATGGACCAGGCCAATCAAACGAGCCATAAAGTTGTACATTTTCCCCTCAGATGAAAGCAGTCCAGAGTTTTCCACAGTTTAATCCAGCAGCATTAATCAACAACATGAGTGGGAGAGAAACAAACACACAATCCATTTGGCAGAGTCTCAGGGGAGAAGAGTCAGAGCATGATGCATGCAGATACATCCGCACCGATTGTGGGAACGGGAAACAAGAGGAGTCCCTTCCTGCACTGCTTCTTGAGGTGGGAGAAGTGTGGCCTTTCTTTCTTCCGGTTCATGATTAATGCATGGATTGTTGTGGTCAAAAAGGATATGTTGTAATTTTTTGGGACAATGCTGCACTGTTTTGGCTATAGTTCACAGTGAAATGGCGATCAGACTAATTGTGTACATTAGTCTATTTGGGAGGGTTTAATACAAGAAAGAAAGAAAAAAAAACACCTTTACAGTAATGAACTTATGCATTGCTGATGTAATTCCCCAATTATAAGTAGATATTCAACAGAACAGTAGTGTCATTGCTATAATTAATTTTTTTATAGAGAAATAAAATATTAAAAAAAATAAAAAACAGATACATTAAAATATAGAAAAAAAATAAATTTATAAAAATAAATGCTATTTTAGTATCATTGAGATGCTATTATATATTTGTAATAGTTTTACATATTTTTGTATTTTCCGTTTTCATTTTAATAAAAGTTATTTTAGTCATTATTATTTTTTTCTTTTTATAAAATGTCTAATCAATTTGTATTGATTTTTATTTCAGTTTTTGCTTTAGTTATTTTAGCACATCAAGTTAAACTACATGAAAATGAGAAGAACATTTATTTCAAGTAAAATCTTATTTCCAGTGGTTTTATTTTTATAATAACAACTCTCCAGAATGTCTTGCACCCTCAATTCTAACAAACACAAAATTCCTCTTGACCAGGCTTGGCAATATCAAAATAGATTCAATCTTTCTAAGGTCCACACCTCTTAACAACCAGAAAGTCCCTGTTTTCCAGCGATAACATCCCCCCCACTCTCAGGTGATTTACTTTACTTTCACTTCCAGCACTGCTGTAGCCGTTGAGCATTTGAACTTTTTTGGGGAATGCTTTTGAAAAGCAGGAAAAAAAAAAACACCCATGAATGTGTATAGACTGGTTTGAGGCAGAGCTATAGGACCAGTGACCACTCCATGATGTTATCACAGCTTTGAGAACTTGGCCATTTGGCTCTAAGCTGCAGAGGTGTGTGTGTGTGTGTGAGAGGCCATGAAAAATGCATAGAGCTGGGTGGCGGTTAACCTCCATCACTGCTGAAAACCTACATTTAATTTCACAATTACGGTTCAAGATAGTTTATAATGCCTGAGGGAGGCACAAAAGGCATCAGTGCATGCGTCACATTAATATTTGAGCTAAAACTATAGAAATATTAATGCAGCATATGATCAAATGAATTCAAGATGCCACATACAGCTTTTCAGACTCTAAACGGACATTTAAGTGGAAGTGTACAAAGAACAACACCTTACAGTTTTGGTCCCAAAACCACACTATGGTTACCACGGTAAATGTTTTGCAAAGGTTGCTGCAAATTGTCCTCTCAGAGACAGAAGTGAATTGACTACTTGATTCTGTTACTAGTACAGAACTCAAAACAACATGCTGATGACTTTTTGCCAGCCCAAGTATACGGTTAATAAAAGAAAAACGTAGAATAACTAGTATATGTAATAATTTCATATTCCGTATACTGCTGTTTATTCAATATGACTATGTTCTTTGTTAAATTGCACGAATTTTAGACTAAAGACGCAACCCTTGTAAGAAATATCTTTTTAGACAATAATATCGTCTCCAGATGAACAAGAAAGCAAGCAAAGTAAAACACTTACCATGTTTTTTTTTCGTTTGCTGAGTTAGTCCACCTTGAAACAGTTTCCCCTGAAAAAAAAAAAAAGACAAATGTGGCATAAATATTGTATTTAAATAATGCACAGCTGTGCGTATATGCAACCTGGGAGAGTTTGAAGCACTTACCAGCTGTACACAAAAAAAAATATCCAAGCGTTATAAAGCTGTCCAGAATACAAAAGCTCCTGATGCAGACGCGCCTTCGGCTTGTGTTATAAGTCAATGCGCGTTTGGATTGAGCGCTGAGCGCTTTTGACGGCGCCGTCAGTTTCCTGTCAAAACAATCTCAACCAATCAGCGACACGCGTCCGCCTGCCAGCCAATCAAAGAGCGAGAAGTGAAACGTGAGCGAAGAACAAACGCTTCTCACCTGAGAGAACTGATTGATTCATCTTATTGATTTGATAATAATAATGTTTATTTATAACAAAATATAAATTAAAAAGCTTTGAAATAAGAAATATTGCCAATGTAATTATAGCCTATTTTATTCATTTATTTTGATAATATGTATAACATATTGGTTTACACGAGAAACATTTCGGTCTAAAACAAGACTTTTTAAAAAAAATTTAGATTATAGTTCGGGTTCGTATTTTTTAAATGCTTTATTTGATCGTTTTGTATGTAATGCAAGGATCTTAGGAAATAGTTTTGTCAGCGGGATTGTCAGTCATTTTGACTTCATTATTTACACAAAATGTTTCTCTAGCGCCATCACGTGGCCGTGAAATGATAGTGCAGAAGCGTATAATAAATATAAATTAAAACAGCACAAATTAAAAAGAAAATAATAATACAACCATAAACAGGGTTACCAGCATCAGCAAAAACAAATTTGCTGCATCAAAAGACATAAAATAAAAAAAGACACAAGGAGCACAAGTCTGTCTTACATATGAACTTTTATTTCCAACGAAATCTTTTATGGTATTTAGATATTAACCCAAAGACTGTGGTCTTAAGTTTTATTTAGCTCTTAAAATGTGTTCAACACTTTACACTTCTCATTTAATAGCATGAATAAAAACAGACAGTGAAAACAAGGCACAGACATCGCGCAAAAGAAGGGATGGTACAGCAACAGGAAGGAGAAATGTGAGGGCGGATATAAATATTTTACACGTTAGTCGATTCTGGACGGTGTCAAAGTCAAGCTAGTAGAGAGAGTGAGACACGTGAGGGAATGTCACGCCGTGGTTTGGAGCGAGCGAGCAATTTCATATGATCCGTCATGCAACAATAAACAGCTTGAGCCTGGGATGCAGAGTGGTGTTACAAAAGAGATGTCTCGTTTTCTTTCTGTGCTCACATTAACTTTACAAAAGAAGCATTTTGCTATCGAGTTTCATCAAATTAGCACATCCATAAAAGAAGTCCTCACCCACCCCCCAATGGTAATCTGTCAGAAACAAAACCAAAGCTCAATAGAAACAAATATCAGAATATAATCCCGACTCTCCACCCGTTGTCTGGCAGAAAAGAACTGCAAAATTTAATTTTTACACATTGAGAACCGATTTAAAATCAGGTTCAGGAAAGAAGGATGGTGTGCTGGAATTCAGTGAAGTTTCACGAGTCTTTTTCAGGTTGTCACATAAAAAAAACGTTGAGATTCTTATAGGTAGTTGAAGGCAGTCTAGCATGTCGTGTAGAACCCGCTCCATCAGACAGTTTACACCTTCCTGAGGAACAATCACAACAAATGAAGAAGGTTAATAAGAGTTTGTCACATGCTATATCATTTCAAAGCAAACAAACTTGCGATATGTTAAATGATTTGTTTGTGAAGTATGCTTGTGCCATCTTTAAAATAAATTAAAATAAGCAATTTAACATCTAATGATCAGTTTAAAAAGGTTAGGGTCGGCACGTTTTAGCACTGATTAAGCATGGATGTATTAAATTGATCAAAAGCACAAAAAATACATTTATGTGATTGTATATAAATGTATGGAAGCCCGTTTCTGCCACTTAATAAAAAAATTTAAAAAGGTTATTGCGACTTTTTATCTTACAATTCTGACTTTTTTTCACAGAATTGTGATATAAACTCACAAGACATTTATGTGATTGTATATAAATGTATGGAAGCCCGTTTCTGCCACTTAATAAAAACATTTAAAAAGGTTATTGTGACTTTTTATCTTACAATTCTGACTTTTTTTCACAGAATTGTGATATAAACTCACAATCCTGACTTTTTTTCTCAGAATTGCGTGATATAAACTCGCAATTGCGACTTTTTTTCTCAGAATTGCGTGATATAAACTCACAATTCTGACTTTTTTTCTCAGAATTGCGTGATATAAACTCACAATTCTGACTTTTTTTCTCAGAATTGCGTGATATAAACTCGCAATTGCGAGTTATAAAGTCAGAATTGCGAGATATAAAGTCACAATTGCGAGATAAAATTTTTCTCAAAATGGCGAGTTTATATCTCACAATTCTGACTTCATAACATATATATAAAATTGCGAGTTATAAAGTCAGAATTGCGAGATAAAAACTCGCAATTCTGACTTTTTCTCAAAATTGCAAGTTTATATCTCGCAAATTCTGACTTTTATAACATATATATAAAATTGCGAGTTATAAAGACAGAATTGCGTGATATAAACTCGCATTTATTACTAACTTTAATTAATACAATTAAAGTCCAGTTTTTTTTTTTGGGGGGGGGGCTGTTATGTTGAAATGCTGTAATCAATGAAAAACTAAATGCATTCGTTTCCACATATATATGAAGCAGCACAACTGTTTTCAACATTAATAATAATACAAATGTTTTCTGAGCAACAAATCAGCATATTAGAATGATTTCTGAAGGATCATGTGACACTGAAGACTGGAGTAATGATGCTGAAAATTCAGCTGCGCATCACAGAAATAAATTATATTTTACAGTATATTACACTCAAAAACAGTTCATTTAAATTGTAATAGAATTGCACAATATTTCTGTTATTGTATTTTTGATCAAATTAATGCAGCCTTGGAAAATCTTACCAACCCCCGAACTTAGTGCAAGTGTTCCTCAAATGTTAAAACTACTATTTTTGAGCAACTGTGCTCATGCTTATGAACACAGGTGTGTTTAATGTGTGTTTATTAACCTCATCATTCTCTTGGCCACCTTCATTAAAAAAGGCCGCAGTCCTTCAGGTTGTTTTTGATGATGACGTCAGTGACGGCGTCGAACACAAACTGCACGTTCTTAGTGTCAGTCGCACAGGTAAAGTGGGTGTAAATTTCCTTTGTGTCTTTTTTCTTGTTGAGGTCCTCAAACTTGGTCTGGATGTAACTGGCAGCCTCATCATATTTATTGGCTCCTGTATACAAACCACACAGAAAATATTGTCAGCAGATTAGAACATGCTGTTTTAGTTGCTTAAACCTAAGCAAAATAACCTTACAGTTATTATAATGCACTACACATTACATAAGAGCTCAAATGAATGTTCTGGGTTCAACTGAAACCTCATCGCCACATTTGTGGGATGATATTGATCTTCACAGAAAAGGATTTTGACTAAGCAAAGACCTGAGTACTCAGGGAAGCAGATGGTGAGAGGGCTGCGTGTGATCTTCTCCTCAAACAGATCCTTCTTGTTGAGGAAGAGGATGATGGAGGTCTCGGTGAACCACTTGTTGTTGCAGATGGAGTCGAACAGCTTCATGCTTTCATGCATGCGGTTCTGAAAAAGAGGAGCGTGATGATTGCGAAACACAGTAACTCAACACCAGAGGGCGCTGTCAGCTTACGTTCGCTCTATGTCTAGTGTACACTAGTTTGACAAGGATCTGCACAGGTATTAGTTATGCATTAGTCAGTGTGTGACTGTTGGTAACACAAAAGACACCAGTCTAAATTAAAACTGAGCATTTCTTTCAGAAAATAACGCAGTATTAGATTTTTAAATATCCACATACTCGAGTAGCTATTTACTTGTTTTAAGAAAAATGTTTACTTAAATTGGTACTTATTTCAAATACTATTCAATGCTAATTCAGTCAATACTATCACTATATCAATGTCAATATTGATCGCATAAAATGCGAAATTAATTTTTAAACTACTCTAAACAAGTGTAGCTGTCGACAATTAATAATTTGTTTAAATGTATTGCTCAATCTTAAAATAATGAATTACTCCCCCAATCTTATAATAATTTAATATCATTTTAATTTATTTAAATGTATTGCTCAACATAAAAATAATGAAATACTTCCAAAATCTTATATCTTAATATTATATCATATAATTTTAATTTGTTTAAGCTTACTGCTCAACCTTAAAATAATGAAATATTTCCCCGATCTTGTAGTGTTATATTATATATTTTAATGTATTGCTCAACATTAAAATAAAGAATTTTTCCCAATCGTGTATTATATAAAATTTTTTAATTTGTTTAAATGTATTGTTCAACCTTAAAACAATGAAATATTTTCCCAATCGTATCATTTTATATAATTTTTATTTATTTTAATGTATTGCTCAACCTCAAAATAATAAAATACTTCCACAAATGTATAATTTTATATTACATCATTTTAATTTGTTTAACTTTAAACGTATTGATCAACCTTAAAATAATGAAATATGTCCACAATCTTATGTTATATTATATAATTTTAATTTATTTAAATGTATTTCTCAACATTAAAATAATGAATTACTTCCCAAATCTTATGACCATTTAATATCATTTTAATATATTTAAATGTATTGTTCAACATCAAAATAATGAAATACTTCCAAAATCTTATATTATATTATATCATTTTCATTTGTTTAAGCTTACTGCTCAACCTTAAAATAATTCAACATTTCCCCAATCTTATAATGTTATATTATATATTTTAATGTATTGCTCAACATTAAAGTAAAGAATTTTTTCCCCAATTGTATATTATATAACATTTTTTAATTTGTTTAAATGTATTGTTCAACCTTAAAGCAATGAAATATTTTCCCAATTGTATAATTTTATATAATTTTAATGTATTTGAATGTATTGCTCAACCTCAAAATAATAAAATACTTCCACAAATTTATAATTTAATATTACATCATTTTATTTTGTTTAAACGTATTGATCAACCTTAAAATAATGAAATATTTCCACAATCTTGTTATATTATATCATTTTAATTTATTTAAATGTATTTCTCAACATTAAAATAATGAAATACTTCCCCAATCTTATGATCATTTTATACTATTTCATTTTATTTTGTTTAAATGTATTTCTCACCCTTACAACAATGAAATACTTAGTCCATTGTATGATCATTTATTTCATTTTAATATATTTAAATGTATAGCTCAATCTTATGCTAA